GTCAGTGGCAACCCTGGCTTTGCCTCAAATATTTGCATATAAAAATCGACGAAAATTCAAACATTAATGATCACGAAGATTATACTGTGAGCAAAATAGCAACGAAGTTATACTTCATCCTTCGTTTATGTAACTTCTTAAAGAGAAAGTATAAAATAATGATATCGCGTGTTGTGGTGTTGATGGATATTCATGGTCGGGTTCGAATTCCACTGCAGGCATCATGCGAATAATTTTTTTTTTTTTTTTTTAGTTTTTGTCTTGATTATTCACTTCACGGATGCTTTTTCAGTATGAACGCTGTCATTTTAATATGCGCGTAATTGAATTGAATATTTACCAATGTAAAGTACTTTCGTTGACGTTTATAGTAAGATGAATTACGTTTCTATTTGATTTTAATATTTTTTTCCCTCAGTGTAGTACCGTCCGAAAACATTACGGTACAGATATATCAATAAACACGTACGAAAGGAAAGGAACACATACGTTTATAAATAAACATGTACACAACACATACATAAAAACAGCACTCACGTACACAATACATTCACAAAAACGGTACCAAACTGTCTCAATTTAATTTTCGAATGCTTTAATGCACACTTTTTACATACATACTTACAATCGTATAAGTGTAAATAATGTAAGGCGAACATATCGTGCTCCATTCAAAACTAATTTTACTGGAACCCTGAGGAGCCTTTTACTGCCTAAATACTTTAAATTACTATTTAAGTAAAAAGAAAACATTTCTAGGTATGTAATTACATTGTTCGCAAAAAAATTAGATCAACGCCATTTTTTTATCAATTGTTAAATAAAAAAAAAACATAAAATACTGACGGCAAAAAATCAACGGTAATTTTTAGCTGCACATTGTTAGTTAGTTGTTCTAAAAATTCAGAGTAAAAAGTTCGAAATTTGCATGAAAATTTTTTGAATTTTTCTAAATTTTGTATAAAGCTTGAATCCTTTATTTTTATGGATTTGGTTAAAGCTCAAACAATATTCTTATGCAAAAAAATACCAAGAAATTTTTAATAAAAAACATTGTGAATATTACAAAAAAAAAACACCAACTGGAAGTTTTTTCACATGATGAACTTTCGTTGTTGCCTTTAGTTTCATCACTTTCGCTTTTGGTTGAGGGAAACTGATAATATACTATTAATATGATCTGAAAAACAGTATAATTAGTTAAAAAAAACTCCCTTAAAAACAATTTGAATTCTTATTAAAATAGCTACCAATAACAGTTATTGGTAGATATTTTCTAGATTTGACTTTTTGACTTTTTACAAATGAATGCTATGTATTTTTTTCCGCAGTGGCAACCCTGGTTATGACACCCCATTCAGAGACATGCTATCGGCCCTCAATTGGTTAAGTGTTACGCAACAACACTTCTATAACACTATTACTAGATGGTAACCTGAGAGGTTCTCTTGATAGAAATGTGCTCGAGTATCTGCAATTGCTTGCGGAAGAGTGACTGCAAGGCTAGAGCTATTGCTAATCATTTGAAAAATAGAAACCAAAGAGAAAATGCGAATTTTAAAGCCGCCCCTAATATTGTCACATTTGCCGCCAGCATTAATGTCCTTGTTCCATTTCGTTCATCTCTTCAATTAAAGTTGCATTATAATTTTGTGGTCGACATGTAGTCGTATTCCCACACCAATGTCAACGACAATGAATAGTGAATATTATCGATTGTACTTACGTAAACACATTACACACGGGTGCATATGTATGTACATGCTTATATGTATGTACATATGCGCAAGTACATACATACGTTCATACAAACATAGGCAAACAGCATATTGCTAAGCACAAACGTTTGGAAGTCCCGTTGCCATCTAAAACGTCCAGCATCACCATGGGATAATGTTCAGTTGCATTCTTCGGAAGTTCTGACATTTCAATGGAAGGAACAAAATCACACCCAATCAACCACCCACACAAGTTCCGTTTTCTAGGAAATAATGGCGTCAATGGCGCCGCTAAGGATATACATATGTACTATAGCAGGTTGTATGCAAGTGAATCATCATCAGCAGCAGCAGCAGCAGAAATAGCCAAGATGAAGGTTGAGGTACAAAAGTCGACGTATGTTGACCCAGTTTAAAATGGAGCAACTAATATTATTACGTGCTTTTTTCTTGCACACGTCAAGGCCAAGTTTAGAAAAAATGCAATAGGCGACGATGGCGAATGACGGCATCATGGTCACAGACTAGCATTTTGATTGAATTAAAAGTTGGCAGGGAAGACAAAAGTGCACACACGCAATTCTGTTAATGGATTATGGAAATTATTGTAATAAAATAGTAAGAGAAACATGAACGAAAAGTAAAACTTTTACTAGACGAGTGGCAATGGGAGGTTGTGGGAGGCAATGAAAAAGCTATTCATTGTAGCAATCAAGAAATGGAAAATACATACATATGTATATACCAAGGATGTTGCGAATATTTGCATTCGCATTCGTTATGCGAATGATTCGCATCATTTTACACATTCGCATTCGACATTTTCATTCGCATCAAATGATACAAATGTTTTGCGAATGCGAATGTGTACATGCGCTGTGAGTCCATTCTAATATTGTTATTGAAATAGCTCTGAGTCCGTTTAAGCAGGGTGCGGTCAATAACCGCCTTTTAGGTTCAGGCGCTAAACGGTTAAGTGGTATACCAAGCAATATTGATGGGCCTTCAACAAGTATTACTAAAAGTCTTATAAGCAACTTAGAAATAATTTTAGATTCTTCCAGCGAAGACTTGTAGAATGTAGAATCTGGAGGCTTTAAAAATGTGAAATTAAAGCGCAATTGAAGGCCTATCTTAAAGAAAAACAAGCTATTCTCGGTGAAAATCCCCTCGATTGGCAGATCTGGCCCGCAAATATTTGAGCGCTTCCCCGCCAAGTGGCAATTGTTCAGTGAAGCCGGTCTTATATACGAGCCTCTAAGAAATCGCTCTATGGGAGAAGAGGCAGCGAAATTACTGTTTTTGAAATATAATATGCCCCTTTTGAACTTTGACTACTAGACACTGTATAGGTGGAGCACTAGGGTGGTCCAAAAACAGCAAAGTCGGAATTGTAATGCTCTCACCCCCTAGGATTGTTCTATATCGAAAAAAGTATACCCCTATTTTTTTATTTTGAAATCCAAAAATATTTAGAGTTCGCTCAAAGCGCTCAAAGTTTTCCATGTATTTTTAAATTTAAAAAAAAAACAACTTTTCGTAGAAATGGTATGGAATTCTTGAAAATCAATATTTTTCGAAGGGATTTGCTTGATTTTGCTTTATCTGGATCAAATTTTGTAAAAACACTGAATGTAATTGTTTAATATGGTATTTATGCGTATTTTAACAATAATCTAATTGCCAATTTGGGCGTGTTTATATTTTTGTCTAGTCTGTAAGGTACTTTATACTGTAGATTATTAAATAAATGAAATGAAATGAAAACTCTGGTTCTCTTCAGTAGACTTTCAATAATAATACGCAATTATTTATTTAACCAGTTTTTAATACTAATGATTTTTTATTTGTGCCTTCATTGCATTCGGGGGTTTTTGGGTTTTTTTTCGGATTTTGGGCGGACCTATAAATTATAGTTGCGATGAAAAAATGGTTAAATGAACAATTGGGAATTATTATTGGGAATCTTCTGCAGGCGAAAAGAGTATTCCGATAGAAAACTATTATTTTTTTAGAATTCTATACCATTTCTACGAAAAGTTGGTTTTCCCCATATAAAATAAATGGAAAACTTTGGGCGCTTTGAGCGACCTCTAAATATTTTTGGATTTCAAAATAAACAAGTAAGAAAGTCTAAGTTCGGGCGGAGCCGAACATTAAATACCCGGCGCAAGTGTTTAATATATGACTTTCACCTTTCCGAAAGCTACCGCTACATGGTAAGCTGGGGCGTATCAATTTTGAGTAAATTAGAGTCCTTAAATTTCGAAATTTTGAAGTTTCAAGCAGTTCTGAAATTTACCGTTATATGAAAGGCGGCCTCAATTTTAGTCCGATTTCAATAATTTTCAACGTTTTGCTTCTATGTGGCAAGCACAATAACCATACCGAGTTTGGTACAAATTGGTAGAACGGTTACCGAGATACATATGTGTAATCATAAGTGGGCGGTGCCACGCCCATTTTCCAAAATGTTATCCTAAACGTATTTTTTGTTGTTGGAAGCATCAATTTTGAATAAATTAGCTTTAATAATTACTGATTTATCGAAGATTTCGTATTTCTCTAAATTACCGTTATATGGGATGTAGGCGTGGTTATTGTCCGATTTTGCCCATTTTCAATACCATCCGTCCTACGCCAGATATAAGGGCACGTACCAAGTTTCGTTAAGATATCTCAATTTTTACTCGAGTTATCGTGTGCACAGACGGACGGACGGACGGANGTGCGCTCGGGTATAAAAATAGGGGTTTATTTTTTCGGTACAAAACAATCCTAATAGTGAGATCATAAAAATTCTGACTTTACTTTTTCACATGCATTTTTGGACCATCCTATTGAGCACTCATTCAATGTGCTAATAATTTCCAAATGTTTAAGTAATAAAAACGACGACTTAAGTTGATTATAGCTTTTTTATTTTTATTCCTCACATTCGGATTCCGTAAGGTGAAAAATATGACATTCGAAACATCCCTAGTATGTACGTATGTATGTAGTTGGAAAGAATACTTTCCTTTGTTTTTTTAACAGCAATATGTAATATAAGCTCAATAGCGCTGGAACTGGACAACGACAGCAACAATCACTTTGTAAAGGATACGTCAAGTAATGGTCACGAGCTAGTGCACAGCTGACGTCTGCCATATATCTACATATGTATATACTCATATATATCCTGGGAAAAACTTTGTCCATATAAAATATACGCGCACAAATACCTACATATTTATTTCAAGTATATGTATACACATGTACATATAAATAAATAAAGCGCTTGCATGGCACCAACTAATCATTACGGCAAACGTTATAAATTGAAGAGCCTCACATGTCCTTGTGTGGGCGAATGGACGAAGAAGTAAGTAAGCTCAGCTGGCCAGTAACAAAAAGGCAGGCGTTGATTTGAAAGCGGAGAGGTACAAAGTTGCTTATTAAAAATTGTATTGATTTAAATTGTGATTTTGTTATAATTTTCTTTTTTTTTCTTTTGCTTCGATTTGGTGGTGTTAAGACTTTCAAATTCATGAAGATAATTTCTAATACCTGTAAGAGAAACACAGCAAATTAGTAACTGCGGTGTATAAAAATTATGAAGGCAACACTTCTCCAATCTACTGAATAGTTACCACTGAAACCAGTAGGGAAGATGAGTGCGAGCAACCCAGTCGAAACTACCTACGTATGTACATTAGAGTGGTCCAAAAACAATAAAGTCGGAATTTAAATGCCGCCACCCCCTAGTATTGTTCCATACCGAAAACAAATCTACCCCTATTTTTTTTTTATTTTGAAATCAAAAAATATTTAGGGAGTGCTCACAGCGCTCAAAGTTTTCTATGTATTTTATATAGGGAAAAAAACTTTTCGTAGAAATGGTGTAAAATTCTTGAAAATCAATATTTTTCGAACGGAAAACTGTGGCTCTCCTCAGGAGACTTCCAATATTAATATCCAATTGTTTATTTAACGATTTTTTAATATTAAGATTTTTTATTGGTCCCCCCATTGCATTTTCTAGGGGTTTTGGAGGACCTATAAAATATAGTTACCATGAAAAATGGTTAAAGAAACAATTGGGTATTATTACTGGGAATCTCCTGAAGATAAGCAAAGTTTTCCGATCGAAAACTTTTGATTTTCAAGGATTTTACACCATTTCTACGAAAAGGTGTTTTTCCCCCATATAAAATACATGGCAAACTTTGAGCGCTGTGAGCACTCCCTAAATATTTTTTTTTTCAAAATTTTTATTCTGATGCTGGAAAGCATCAGAAGAGCTGCTAGTCTGAATCGCAGCGGCACCATATACGGCAAAAACACGATGGCATAGGGATGTCAGAGCAGCTTTTGCCGCTTAGAAAAAGAAGCTAACGAGGTTGGTCTAGCGGTGAACGAGGACAAGACAAAGTACCTCCTGTATCCTGTGTATCGGGACACACGTCACTGTTGGCAGTCATAACTTTGAAGTAGTGAAGGACTTTGTTTAATAGAATAATTACTACCAATACTGTCAGTCTGGAGATAAAACGAAAAATAACTCTTACCAACAGGTGCCACTTTGGGCTCGGCAGACAATTAAAAAGCAGAGCTCTCTCTCGACGAATAAAAACTACGCTCTACAAATCTCTCATCATGCCGGTCTTTTTATATGGCGCCGAAACATTGACGATGTGAAAAAAATATGATAAGCTTTGAGAGAACTATTCTAAGCAAGATCTATAGCCCCGTTCGCGTGGGCGACGAGTATCGAAGAGGACGACAACCCCCGGTGAAAAGGTCTTTCGCACCGATGGGTGGACAACGAAAGAAATTGCGCCCACGAACACAATGGAAGAACCCAGTGCAGAAGGACCTGTCTAGAGTGGCGAGCGCCTTTGGTCTCGACCTAAACCGACAAACGGTTGTAGGGTCAAATGAGAAAAAAGAAGAAGAGGCGGCTCGCAGAAAGTTTCAATTTTGCTCAATTTTGCAGTTAGCCTTTTATATATTATTAAAAAGTTATAAAGTAATTTCTTAAAACATTGAATGACATTTAGACGTCTTTAAAACTTGCGGTTTGTGTTAAAATTCTTCCCACTCATCATTATAGGTACAATATTTTTTCGCATATGTAGACCTTTTCCAGCTAAGCCATTTTGTAAGTGTCACAAAAATTTTAAACTAGCTGACAAGTGTCAAAAATGTAGACTCTCTGTGTTTACACATGTAAGTATGTATGTATATGCATAAATATTTAGTAGGACTAGCAAGTCAACTTACCCAACAGAGGGCACGTATCACCACTTGAGGCTTCATGGCGAATGTGAGTGGATCAAAGGCGCCACCCGCCTTGCCACCACCATACGCCCCGCCAGCATTCATATTTAGAATTTGAGTTAAGACATCCATTCTCTGGTTGTGTCTATGTATAACTTTGCTTGCGGGTGCAGTTGATGAGAATTTTAATTTGCAATGCTATTTTTGTATATTTTTTAACCTTTTTATTCAAATCTGAAAAAAATACATATGCATACATAAACAAATTTTATTTTTATACTTTTATTTTTATTTTTCATAAAAATATGTTTTCGATTATAATTTACTGTTGATTACAAAACCAAAACTACACACACATAAACTCGCAGGCGTTTTTCAAAGAAGTTTAGAGGACGAATGCGCGCACACACCTACACACGCGTCTAGATATTCATTTCAATTGGCGTGGAGCACTCTGACATTCCAACGTGAACACATAACAGTTAACGCGCATTTAGGTTTTCACATGAAAATGTTAATGAAATTAACCTTTCAACACAGCACAAACACTCATTCCTTCCTACATACTATGAAAAATATATCTACTACTATACATACTATGAAAAATATTCTCTGCTGATTTGTAAGAGACTTCCGTAAAAATTGCAAAATGGAAATTCCGCTTGAAATATACTTTTTTTCGTTTTGCTTTGTGTATGTATTTACAATTGCTATTATGTATGTATGTACATACATATGTATGTAGTGAATTCCTCTTCGCACTTTTCTTCTCTTATTGAATTTACTTAAAACTTATTTTATTGAAAAAACAGAAATCGCGCATAATTCTCACCGCATTCTATTATTTGTCAATGATTTAATCTTAAGTTATTTTAACATTTTTTTTAGCTTTTTTCACACACAAATAAGTAGGTACATGTGTCAATTTTCACTGTGCTCATAACACAATCACAATCAGCGTGTGGGTGCTTGTGTTTGTGTGTGTATTAAATAATATTTATTATGGCGACGCTCCACCAGCTCCTTACTAGCTACGTGTGTGTATACCACGTTTGTTAACGCTGTTAATTTGCTCAGATTACAGCAGAGCCACTAACGGTGCGTGCTGCCGCAGTAACAGTAAAATTTTCCCGGAAAAACAAAAAGTACTGAAATCGTTGCGCGTGCTTTTCTAACTGTTTTCAATTATCTTCAATTTTCCGCAAGCAAGTGAACAGAACATTTATTTGAATATGTACGTATGCATGTATGTGGGAGTGTGAATGCAGTTCTGCGCAGTTGTTGGGAGAGGTTGGCAAGCCTGAATCGCTGATAAAAACTGTAAACACAAGAAAAGCTTGCAACGAAGTCTTTCGTGAAAGCTTGACTACGCGTTGTTTATCATAAGTTTGACAGTCACGGCAGGAGAGAAATATGTAAATATGTATTAATTTAAACGTGTATATATGTAGGTATGAGAGCGGAGAGCCAAAGGAGCTTTCAGTAATTAAAAATTATTTTAAAAAATCAGAACCCGTTTAATAAAAATATTAAAAAGCAAAAAATGTGAGAAAATTAAAGACTTTTAATCAGGGACTGTCACAGTTATGATCTTGTCAATAAAATCATAATCTAACCGTTAAAACAGGATTTGCCTTTTTCCGATCAAAATTTAACCGTTATTTTAAAATTTTTATTTTTTCGATCAAGAATAATCGTTATTTTCGATCAAGAATAATCGTTATTTTTGGATTTTTATATTTTCGAGAAATTTATCGTCATTATTTTTAATTTTGATTTTTCCATTCATATCAAAGCTGTTATTTTTAGATTAAATTTTATAGGTGATAAAAGATCGGTCACAAAAACACAGTCTCAATGGTAACGGTTAAAAATATACATATAAGGATTAAAGTTCACCGAAAAAAATAAAAATCCAAATGTAACGATTATTATTCACCAAAAAAAAAATTTAATACAAATTTGGAATGATCAAAAATAAAAACCTTGATATTTAACGGTTAGTTTTCGTTGCTGCTTTTAATATTTGATTTTGGTATTTATTTTTTTTTTTTATGTAACGAAACCCCAAATATTCTCATAAAAACCTAAAGAATACCGAATAAAACACAAAATTTCACGAAAAGAACGAAAGTTTCTGGAAAAGAATGTCCGGGAAATTTCAAAAATATAAAAACAAATCCCTAGAAAATCTCGGAAAGTTTAAAATACCAAACAACTCGAATCATTTCATGTTTATCAACACCCGAAATAGCAAAAATCAAAGCTGACCGGCTATTTTATGCTAAAAAAAACCTCAAGAAAATTTTATTGTTGTCGTAAAAAAACGATATAACTCTCCGCATTAAGAGTCAAATATGTATTTTTAAAGTCTTGGGGGATTCATGCTGTGCAAAGGCAAATGCTACTAATGGTAGTTTTGAAAAATAAAAACGGTAAGATAATTCAAAACATATAAATAATCTTTATTTACAATCACTGCTAAAAACCCCGGAAGGCGGTATAATGTTCACTGCACCAGTATTTTTATTTTTCTTATTCTCTGATTGTGAGAAAACCGTAAAAAAAAACTATTATTTTTCCTAACATTTCTGAAATCTGCAAATATTTTTATAATCAAAGCACAAGAAAAATAAACACGATTTCAACGCCAAGCTGTATGCAACAAAGAGATGAAAAGTCGAGCAAACACTTACACATGCATGCTTTTTTAAGCGCCTGATCCACTTGAATAGGTGTAGTGAAAAAATGAAAAGATTAGAATTAACCAAGAATAATAATTTTAATTACCTTATTTAACACTGTCAGTATTGGGTTCTACATATATTCGTAATTTAAACAGAGTGCCAGTTACTGCCGAAATTCGGCGGCTGTTCTAAGGGTAAGACATTTTTTTGTCTTCATTTTATTCGCTGTCTTCATATACTTACGTATTCGCATTCACCTTCGTATTCATTTTAGTCGCTGTATTCGTATTAGCCTTCGTTGTTATCTGCATCTTTGTGTTCGCCTTTGTATTCTTCGTATTCGTGTTCGTGTTTGTCCGCGTATTCGCCCTCGTATTCGAATTCATCTTGATATACATCGACCTTTTTGTCTTCGTGTTAACATTTGTCGTCGTATTAGAATTCGTCTCCGAATTCCTAATCGTCTTCGGTTGGTCTACATAATGGTATTTATTTTAAAAAACTTATAACTTTGAATGTAAATTTATATTACAGAGATCGTCTATCTCGGTCAATTATAGATATGTCGTGTCTTTCAAACATAAACCTTTGGCGGCAAAGTTGCATTTAAAACTTTAGAATTCAAAGTAGTGAAATGTGGTTCGTCGCAAGCATCCATGTGAAGCATTAACATCACTAATTTCTTGTTTCCGAACATTGCCTCAGACAACTCGTTAATGCAAACGAGCGAAGCAGATATGCCCTTACAACATCTAGTTCACGAAAATATAACGGCCTTAAGATATGACTCACACACTTAGCAAGTCTCAAGACTTTCATGGATGAGGGTGAACAATTAAGACTTACGGACTTTAAGTTAAACAAATTCACAGTAAAGATTATTACCGCTGAGATCTTCTTATTACAACTGCTTGCCGGTTTGGGCTGGGACCAAAAAATTTCGTCATTTGCGTCTCTCCTTTGCGAAGCTACACAAGTTGTTCTAACCAAGGACAGAGAGATTCTTTTTTATTGCTTTCATTGTCTACCCGTTGGTCACCTATTCAGAAATGGTCGAAATGAAGAAGGTAGGTAAGAATATTATCTGGCTTTGAACGAAGTATAGAGAAAAAAGGAAAGAAGAACACTCCGCGTGTGTAATCGCGTTCGCCATTCCAAAAATAATTGAGATTTACGTATTGGATTGGGAAAGTGAAATACTAACAACAAATTAAACAAGGGTACCACAGGATTCTATCCCTTTCCCGAGCTCTCCCAGCCACAAGAGCGAGTTTCTCTCATCCCATACTCTAACGATTGCTTGATATTGGCTTCGGGCAAGGGCATTGATGCTGTGTACTCGAAAGTAAACGGCTACCAATCTGGGTCGCTTCTTCGACGCAAGAAGCCTAGCCCTCGGCAGTTTGGAATTCATGTCGATGGCATGCAGTGTGCAAACTTCTACCACATATCGATGGCTGAGTGGAAGTTCGACCTATCTCGGCAGCCAGTTCGAAAACGCTCTATCTCAAAACACTTTTCAAGAACGCCCTATTTCAGAATTTAATTGAAAAACACCCTATCTCAAAATTCGGTTCAAAAACGCCCTATCTCACTTCAAAATGTATTGAAAATATGCTGATATAGGGCATTTTTGAATCGGCAGCTGAGATAGGGCGTTTTTGAAACGAATTTTGAAATAGGGCATTCTTGAAAAGTTTTTTGAGATAGAGCGTTTTCGAAATGACTGCCGAGATAGGTCGATCTTCCACTCAGCCATCGATATGTGGTAGATCTACCACATATTTTTAAAATTTGGGATTCTACCACACGAGGCTTAAAACCTACCGCANGAATTTTGAAATAGGGCATTCTTGAAAAGTTTTTTGAGATAGAGCGTTTTCGAAATGACTGCCGAGATAGGTCGATCTTCCACTCAGCCATCGATATGTGGTAGATCTACCACATATTTTTAAAATTTGGGATTCTACCACACGAGGCTTAAAACCTACCGCATTTTTAGACAGAACATATATAACAACAATATAGACATAGTGCAGCGAATAAAAATTCAGCGGCTCCGCTGGCTTGGCCATGTCGTTCGAATGGACAGAAACGCTCCTGCTCTGAAAGTATTCAACGCGGGCCGCGATGCTGGTAACAGAGGAAGAGGAAGGCCTCCTCTGCGTTGGAAAGACCAGGTGGAGAAGGACTAGGCTTCACTTGGCATTTCCAATTGGCGTCAGTTAGCACAGAAGAGAAATGACTGGCGTGCTGTTTTAGACTCAGCCAAAACCGCTTAGGCGGTTACAGCGCCAATAAAGAAGAAGAAGAAGAAGAAGAAGAAGGACTGTCACAACAACACCCCATAAAAGCTCTTTGGGGAATTTGTATGCTTTTACAACAACAACAAACCCACAAGTATCACTTTTGGTAAGATTTAACAGTACATTATCCGCCTACACAAAGCTAACTACAAAAAACGGATAGAAGTAATTTAAAGGTTGTTTTTTTTCAATGTTTCGAAAAAATGCATAACAAAATCAAGCAACTACTACTAGTTATTTGGTTCTGTTCTATCACAGAGGATACAAGCTGAGGTCTAAACCCTTTGGCTTTGGCCCGTTTTATATTTTATCTTATCTTTATCTGCCTATCGTGACTCGGTACAAAAAATTTAAAATATTGGTTCCGTACGTCATGCGGACTGCGCCCCTCGTGCGGATGGGCGGGAATGGAGGGTAAAAACCGTTGGGATATTATTTCCGGTCGGACTACCTTGGGCTAAGTTCCAACCGCCCAATCCCTTGCTAAGATTGAAGGTTGTGAGTCTGATGTTAGCGGTATTAAACGCAGACGCGGTGTCCGATTTTACGTCGATGGGTAACCTGCACTTACTCTTACTTCATGTAGACTTGTTTCATTGGAGAAAACGGTAGGAATATACAAAGAAAGAAAAACTTTTCAAAAATATGTAAGTATGTATTAAAATTTTATAAGTATATATCATTAACAAAATATATTTAATTATTACTTTAGATTAAGGTTCGTTAACTTATCTATTTTAAAGTATATATAAATCATTAGTTAAACTTGACTATATTTTCTAGGGAATTTTACGTAGTTAAAATTAACTAATGCGTTAACTACACTTTTAAATAGATAAGTTAACGGCCCTAACGAAATTTCTCTACAGAAAAGGAAGAATCGAGTTAACATAAAATCATTTTGTATTAAACAAATTTTTCTGGTATAAACGTAATATAAATGCAATTTCTGGCATGCAGTTCCAGGCAAACGAATTTCAGTCCGCATGAATTACTTTTGGCTTAACACTTTAGTTATTTTTAAAGTTTGCTGGACGCTTCTCGACGAAAGCAGTCATGCCTTCTTTGCGGTCCTCCTGAAAATCCAAGAACATAAATTGAGATATTATATACATTCATACGTACATATATATCGTCGTTTAAAGTACAAAACCGTCATTCTGCAAAACCGCGCAACTGACATTTGCTGCCAAAAATTAGATTTGCTCACACAAGATCTAGCCTCTATCCATATCCATTCGTCCTGAAATATACTAGCCAGAAATGCGATTGCTTTATAAAAAAAAGATAACCATTTTGAAATGCGAGTGTTTTTACTCTCTAGAAAATAATTCATGCAACCTCACATACGCGGTTTGGCATTTTGTTGATACGCGGTTTTGTACTTTAAACGACGATATACATGTATATGTAGTAAATATTATGTCCACATAGCTATGAAAGACTATTTAAGCTACTACTCACAGTTGAGAATGAGGCGTGGAAAGTTCTGCGTTCGAACTTCAAACCCTCCTGCAGTGTAGTTTCATACGCTGTATTCACTGCCTCCTTGCATAGTTGCACAATCAGTCCTGAGTGTGTGCCAATCTTCTCGCCTAGTTTAATCGCTTCATTTACCAACTGATCGGCGGGCAACACCTTGCTTACCAAACCCCGTTTCTCAGCCTCAGCAGCTGAGATCATATTGCCAGTCAGGCACATTTCCATAGCCTTGGATTTACCAACAACGCGTGTCAAACGCTGAGTGCCACCAGCGCCAGGAATAGTACCCAGAGCAATTTCAGGCTGACCGAATTTCGCCTTTTCGCCAGCATAAATAATATCACACATCATGGCCAATTCACAGCCACCACCCAAAGCATAACCATTTACAGCGGCAATAATAGGCTTCTGGCAGCGGGCGACACCGGTCCAGTCACTCAAAAAATTATGCATAATACATTGAGAGTAGGTAATGGACTGCATTTCCTTGATATCAGCGCCAGCGGCAAATGCCTTCTCGCTGCCGGTGATCACAATGGCAGCAATATTTTGATCACTGGCGTAGTCAATGAGCGCTTGATTAAGCTCCTTCATGAGACCGTCGCACAGTGCATTCAGAGCTTTGGGGCGATTCAATGTGATGACAGCGACATTCTTCTTTTCTCCAGTCACTTCACGTTGAATGTATTCCAAGTTGCTGGCTGCAAAGATAAAGTTCATTTTAAATTTACGATGGAAATGTGAATCAAAAGCGTTATCAAATGCAAAAATAAACCTACAACAGAAGTATCACAATAAGCGGGCCGATAAACATTACGCACGGCTGTTGCAACGGCATTAGTACTACGTAAAGGGAGCAGCATTAAATGAAACTGTGCATATCAAGAATCATTTGAATTCTTCAAACCACCGTTGAGCGATGTGTCCGTCGATATAGTAGTTTGGGTTGTTGTTGCTGTAGCGGCTTATTTAGCGCTGACTAGATCGGATAGTCCTTCAATAGTTGTCGTCAAGCCCAACTACTGGTAGGCCCAGGAAATGTGATGTTTCGACGGGGTTGAATCAGAGAGAGGGGGTCTTAGTTGAATTGGGTTGAGTGGGCCTCTCTCGGAGCAGGTTGGATCTTGTGGGTCAGTTTACAATTTTATTTCCGAAAGCAGCGTTCGAATGAATCCTTGCCCACCCATATTCTGTAAGTTAAGAGACGAGTGGATATACTCCACTCATCCAATTCACGGGTAGATTGAAGTTAAATGTAAATTTAGACTGGAGGTTCTTCCCGAAACGAGCTCTCTGACAACCTAGGGTTAGGCATCCGAATCAACAGAGTTTCGTTTAGGCAGCTCGGTAAGCTACAACGACTAGCCCACGTCGGCATCATTGCCTAGATAAGAACAACACCAAACGCGGCTCTCTAGGTGCTTGTTGGCCTCTGTTTACATCAAAGCTCATCTCAGGGGACAATATAGGGGACAAGAAGCTTATACACCCTTCACAACAAGAAGATGGGCTGCGCATTATCTTTGTGGACCTGTGCCTTCCGAGATTTAACTATACACATAACTAAAACGACCTAAGCCCAGAAAGGACGGCCACATCTGGTACTCTGACGGCTCCAAGACTGGCCACGGCCTCGGAGCAAGAGTGCAAGGCATACATCCCAAACAGCTCCCTTTCACCAGCATGGGGCAAGGTACATACACTCGGACAGCATAGCGGCGCTCCTCGCTCTTAAATCGCACGATGTCACCTCAAAGCTGGTATGGTACTGTCTTCAGCTTTTAAAACTTATATCGCCTCTACGAATTGGGTATGCCTCATATGGGTTCCGGGACACAATGAAGTCATCGGCAATGAAGTGACAGATATTCTCGCCAGAAAATGAGCTGCACAGGGATTTATTTACATATATGCACAGGACCCTTTACCGGTATGCCATAGAGCTTCGGACTTCCCTCCCAATCGCACCAGACAACTTCAGCATCAATTTCATGTGAATTAAAGGCCACACAGATATCGCAAGAAACCGTGTGACTAAAGATCTTTCGGGGCAATGCACTCTTGAGAAGATGTTGCCAAGTAAAAGAAGTATTTTTAGACATTACCAATATTGCACTCGAAAAAGGATAACTTCTAAACAAATACAAAACTTTAATTTAAATAAAATATCTTAGACAAAAAAGTATAAAAAAGAAAAAATTTTCACACTTCCCTTATTCAAACTGGATAATATGAATCGAGATAAGTAATTATATCCAAAATTTAAAACAATTTTTATAGCTAGTCCAATTATATTTAAAATTTTATTTCTAAACTAATTTGTTTTTATATTAAATAATTTATTTTTTATTTTTAGTTTCTTTAAATGCAGGACTACAAAAGGGGGTGCAAGAATTGCGATGTAAAGATTGTGCGGGAAAGTTTCCGTAAAGTACGAAATGCGAACAAACCTCTCGGGAACGTTCTCAGGAGAGAGAAAATGAGAACAAAACTTTCGAGAGCGTTGTAAATAAGAACAAAATGAGAACGAAAATGTCGAGAACGTTTTCAACAAGGATCAAATACGAACAAAAGTCTGGGAACGTTCTGTTAGAGAGCAAAGCGAAAACAAAAGTTTTGACAACTTCAAGTTAAGAATGACAGCGACGTCTGCGTGTTGAAATAAAAAATCGTTTTAGTGAGAAGCACTATAGTTAATTCTAAGGCAGAGGAAAGCTGGATCATTTCAACTTCCAGATAGTTTATCATTAGGGTGAACAATCCGTGTATGGAACAATTTTTCACTTTCTGTGCAGGAAAAGTTCGTTTCTTAAGTCTTTCGTNGGAAAGCTGGATCATTTCAACTTCCAGATAGTTTATCATTAGGGTGAACAGTCCGTGTATGGAACAATTTTTCACTTTCTGTGCAGGAAAAGTTCGTTTCTTAAGTCTTTCGTTGTGACTTAATTTGCATAATTATCTTTCACTTCTTGTTTGATTAATTTTAATATTCAAACATTTAACGCTATCACAAAAATTTTGTTTTCACTTCCATTCTTTGGGAGTAGCTCAGAGAATATTTGTGCCCGATTCGTTCTCCGTCAGAAAGATCTTAAGGCTTTAATTCCCAAATGATTCTTCGAGAGAAAGTTCCTTAGACTTTTGTTCCCATTTTGTTCTCTTAGAAATGTTCACCAAAGTATTGTTCGCATTTTGTTTTGGGAACGTTTTGCGGGGTTTTTTTCTTATATAATTACCGTTGAGAACTTTCTTCACAGTTTTGTTCTCACTTTCGTTCTTGGGAAACACCCACGAAAGTTTTGTTCTCATTTCGTTTTTGGTTCTTAAGCGTTCTTGGGAACAAAAAAATTTCCAAAATACTGCAGCATCTTCCGGGTGGAAGTCGCGGCGGTAAAGAAAGCAGCGCAGTTTCTCAATAACAGCAATGGTCATAGCAATCAAGCTATTTTCTATGTACGTATGTAGATAGCCAAGCAACCATAAAATCCATAGTGTCAAATACGACGATCTCAAAAAGTGTCTTAGAATGCAGAAGTGAGCTAAAAAATACTAGGGCCAACTAAGAAAATTCACTTTTACTGGGTACCTGGGCATAAGGGCATAGAGGGAAACGAAAGGGTGGATACTCTAGCAAAAGAAGGAGTGCTACTAAATAATGCAGTCGAGCTATAAATTACTATCTCCCCACAGGCGCTAAAAAGGCAATTTAACTTAGGCATGTTCCATGAGGCTGATAAAAGGTGGTCACAACAGCGTGAATGCAAAAAGAGCTAAAACACGTCCGTCGTTCTCGCTATCAAATATCGAATGGTTTTTTATTCCGCTAACTATTTACAAGACGGTGTCCTGGGCGAGATCCATAACTTTGTCACTAATGATATAGACTAGGAATGTTAATCCTGGGATCCCGGGATCACGGACTTTTTAAGGTCTCGAAAATCCCGGGATTCGTGACAAGTAATCCCGGGATTTTCGGGATTTGTAATTTGCACTGATGGCAATAATAGAAACTCCCTTTCTTGGCTATTAGCTATATTTCTTTTTTTATTTAATAATTATCTAATATTTTTTTATAAATTCCTAGCTTATTTTACATATAACACCGCGCTAGAGTAAATTTTAAACACAAATGTCAATATATTCGCGAAACCATGGGCCAAATATAGTAAAATGCGTTTTTGGTTTTTCACTCAGACGTCAGTAATTCAAAAATGATTTAAAAAATTCAGAGAAATGTGCTTAGAGAAGAAGTATGGGTATAAAATTAATGAGGAAATCCTGTAGAATTAAAATAAATTCAAGTTTCTGGCACAGAAGGGCTGGTAAATATTGAAAATGTCATTTCAAAATTTTATCCTTGAAAATTCGCAATATTTGTTTTTAAAAAAATTATATGTTAAGGGCTTAAATAAACTCGATAATATCCTTAAATTTCGCTCTTCTAACATTTTCAGCTTAAAAATTACTTATTCGTCCTTGTGAATCCAAAAAATTTTAATTTTTTAGATTCTAAAAAAATTTCCTATTGCATTTGTTACACATATTTTTATTCTACTCTACATTGCATTGAGTTTTTCAATAATTTTTGGAATTAATCATATCTTTGAAATTTCAACGTCTTTTAAAATAAATCCTGATGTCAGAGAAAAAAAACGCCACTTTAAATTAAAAAGGAGGTTTCAAACACATTTATGTCATGGTAGGAGAGCTTCTCAAACAATATAGAAGCAATTTTTTCGACTCAAGTTGTTGAAAAGTAATGAATATCTAAATCCCGGCACTAATCCCAGGATTCCGGGATTGTGACAACGCCATCCCAAAAATCCGGGATCGTAAAAAGCCGAAAAATTAACATCCCTAATATAGACACAAAACACCTTATGTCTAGTTTACAATAAGTTAACTTAATGATTAGTACAGGTATACTATATACCCTTACAATATTTTCTTCTAAACAAAATTTGATTTTTTACAGTATATTCGTAATCAAGTGAAATAAAATAAAATATAAAATATAATAAAATAAAATAAAATAAAATAAAATAAAATAAAATAAAATAAAATAAAATAAAATAAA